AAGCCATTCACAACCTAATATATCATATCTACCGCAATTATTTCGATTTGGATGTACCTTTCTTGGTGAGGCACAGCCCCCGTATCAGAATGTGTTTTTGCTCTTTGCGAGCTGGATTTTATCAGTTTAGAACTTTAATAAAACATTTATTTATGCAATAGCAAAGGAAATTTAATTAGTAAAAGAATTCTTAATACTCTGAATGTGCTAGTGAAAGTTTTATTGGAAACAAATAATTTTTATTTAAAATGTTATTGGTTCGAAGTTATTAATAAACTTGAAATAATGCTCTTTTTTTTCTACAATGGTGGGCGCTTATCTAGATATAGTGGTGTCTTTATTATGGAGGCACTTAATAGGTAAGCCACCTTTGCTTCCCAAGAAGAGACAGACAAATTTTACATCCATGCCTTCTCCAGGATTCGAACCCGGGTCCTGCGGTATCGCAGTCAGGCTTCCCTAACCACTACACCGTCCGGGCGGCTGAAATAATACTTTAAAATACAAGTATTATATATATATATTTAGGTTGTTTAATTTATATATATATATATAGTCTGCGTATTCTTGCTAATGTTGATATGGTTCCTAAAATTTCGTGCATTCATTATATAGTATTATATGGCTTGAATAAATAAGTAATTGCTTGTACCAAACAGTCAAATATATAGACAGAATATCATTCATGATTACAGATTGTCAGTCCCCCCCCCCGAGTATCGATTTCTTAATCTGGGGAAGAATGCGTGAAACATAAAACGACATCTATTCATTTAAAAGATTGCCGTTCATTGTGTTATAAGCTGCATTTAGATTTAATAACGGCTGAATCTTTCTCATTAAGCTTGGATTATTCCGGTATATCACTGCTCGTTTTTAAAGAAGAAGATAAAAATACCATTTTAGTACACGGGTAACACGTGACATAAGCTGATTATAATGACCTGAATTAATCGATTTATGAATTAGATATGCGTATAATTTCACTCTATCCGACAGCAGAAGACGAGAAAAAACGATTGTTAGGCGAACTCTGTAACGGCAAATGACAGTATAATGATGAAAAGATTTTTCTTTTTCCACCCATTAAATGGAAAAGGAAAAATCAATGAGATATTTCAGAAAAATGGGAACAGCGTAAAAAGAGGGGAGGATACAAAAAGAGAGTGAAAAATTTAGGTGCGCCAGTGTTTCATAAAGAACTATTTTTATTCCTTCTTTAGAAATGCAGTTCTTAACATAGCACACGGTGGGAAAGTTTAAGAAACCCTAATAAAAAAATAAGAAAGAGATTATGGCTAGTTTCATTCTTTTCGTATTCGGAGAATTCTTTTCGCTATTTTGTATTTTCTTAGATTTTTTTAAAGTCTCGCTTAACGGAAGTTATAAAGAAATAAACGGCGAAAACCAAGTAGAAGGAAGCATTGTTTCTCTGAGCATGAAAGTATTTTTCTTAGCTATGAGCCTGAGAAAAAAGCGATTTTCTGGATTAAAAAGATCTTTATAACCGAGCGTTTTTCACATTTTCACTCTATATCGCTCCATTCTGTATTTCGAAGCACGCGAAACACTCTTTTGAGAAATATTTATTTGCGCTATGAGGTCATTTTGAAAATGGCTAAGTTTTCAATGGCAATCAATACAGCTCGCTTTCCTTATTAAATCCCATTCTGAAGAAAGAGCGTTCAGTAATATGTTAAGTAAAAAGTAAGACTACAGATTTCTATACCTTATATTTAATTATTTATAAAAATGTAAGTTAAGGGGACTCATACACTTTAAAACCCATAAGATGTTTGAATAGGTGACTATTGCAAGAATTGGGATTACTTATTGATTTTAAAAGCAATTACTTCCAACTTTTTACAGCTGACTACATAATATAGCTGCTTTCTGAAATAGTAATCAGAAAGTTTGTGTTGCCACAAATATTTTATAATTTAATCCGCTTTGTGACAACATTTTTCGTCATGTTTCCAATTTGCGCGCACAGGTTTAAAACATTCTGTTTCATAATTTAATTCCATATTTAATATATAGCTGTTATAACATTTGGAAACTACTGTGAACCTAAAATTCTATAAATTTCATATTCAATTTTTATTTTATTTTGAGTTCAGTTTATAAAATGTATTTTATTAACAAAATTTGTAATGTTTTCGTCCGCAAAATTTTTCAATATTAAAATATTTAACAGATTGTTGGTTCAGTTCAAAAATAGTGCCCATATAAAGAATTCCATCTAATTTCAAGTATGTACCATTAGCCATTTTTAAAATATCATGCGCGCAAGGTGGAACCATGGCGAAATATTTTGTCACAAAGAGGATTAAATTACAGAAATATTTGTGGCAACACAAACTTTCTGGTTACTATTTTCGAAAGCAGCTGTATTATGTTGTCAGCTGTAAAAAGTTGGAAGTAATTGCTTTTAAAATTAAAAAAAAAAAAAAAAATCTCAATTCTTGCAACAGTCACATATTCGAAGATCATGAGGGGTTTAAGGTGTATGAGTCCCCTTAAGCTATTCTCTTGCATTTTAAAGCACAAATATAAAGTGAATGGCACAAGCCCACTACATTCATCGTTCAATTAGTAAAATGCTCCTGTCGTTGGTAAGAGCCTTGAGCACCATACAGATGACAGCCCCCAATTTTTAGAAAGAACACTCCGGAGAGACGTGTCCGAGGGTCTCCCCCACCTCTTCCTCTCCCGCCAATTTCTCGAAAGGACTTGTGTAATTAGAGTGGTCCCATGCCGCATAGACACTATACATACCCAAACTTCCTTTTTACTGCCATGTATTTCATAAGAAAAATTTTATTTCTTTAAATATCAGTCCTGAATCTGAATATGTATGAGCATTCTAAAATTAGAGAAGATATTTTTCTGAAAACCTTTCAAAAGTGGTAATAAAAGGGTTGCGAAGATGTAAAAGTTTTATTATGGCCTCTGCGAAAATAAAAATTCCAGTAGATTCCAAGTCTAACCTTTGTGTCAGAAAATTGAATGTCTCTCCCTCTAAATATTCTCCCATTCCCATACGTGTAAAATTAGCAGACGTGTAAGTCATTAATATCCGAAAATTTTCAACAGTAATCATAAGTAGCTAAAACGATCACCTTTAGTTTGCGTAATTGCTCGAATAATCGTTAATTTTTACGGCCAGTAAATAAAATAGGATTTAAATTATCAAACATTATATTTGGAATTTTTACATATGAGTGTCAGATTTTTATATTTCATTCTCCTTTGATATAAAAAAATATTTTATTATAATGATGAATAAGAATAAAAATTTAATCATTTCTTTTTAGCTTATAAAAGTAAAAAAAAAAGATTTTATTAATTGAATTTTTACTCTCTGTTGATAAATGAAACGCTAGAATTTGAGATTACCGAGTCGTTTCATGTCAAAGGCTGAAATTAGAACCATGAAATTCTGAACAAGTTTGTGAATTCTCTAATCGAAAAAATATATATCTAGGAGTAATATTTAAACACATTTAGCTTGACGTTAACTTCTTTGACATCATATTTATAAATTTAGTAATATTTATGCAATTGACAAAAGTAAAAGATGTAACACAAAATGTAAGTAACAGTGAGAGCATCTTTCATGCGAAGAATATAAAATAAAAACTCTTGTAATATTTCATTACTGGACTAAAAATCATAACTTTCACTTTTCTAAGTTAACTCTTTACACTCGAAGCCTTTTTAGCTTAGGAGAATCTGTAACTCGAGACGATTTTCCACATATTTCATGAATTTCTTACAGCTTATTTAACGTTATTTCACACACAATTGAAGAAATATAATGGCTCTTTTATGTCTGAATATACTTGCGATCTTTGGCTATTTCGCGTAATACAGGCGGTACACTTTGAGGTATTTCTTCGGTTACTGTGCACGTTATCCAATCTGAATTTTCTGTCTTTTCTGCTGAATCACTGTTGCTTTCATTTTCACGATACTATTACATTCACTTTTCGCTTTCTTACACCTTCAACGCTATCTCGTTAAGTAGCCTATGCGCATACGTAATTTCATTCTTCATCAAATAAAAATCGAATGTCAATCGTTCATCAAAGAAAAATCAAATACTTTTCACTTAAAGTGATTTTTTATCATATTCTATGCTTATTGGGTTCCGTAGCTTTGAAAATAACATTCCTGTTGCCACGAATATGGAGTCAGAATTAACGTCGATGATTCCTGTATCTAAAAATAATAGATAATGAAATAGAGTTACCTCTTGAGTTATCTCAACAAATCAAGTGGTGACTAAGGCTAATTTCCCGCGCTGTTCTCCCGCTCTATTGATTTCCCGTTTTAGCTCTGCTTGTTTTGTGACAGCGAAATCTACTGTAGAACGCCGCTTCGCTTCAGCTTCGCTCTGATTGGTCGACGCTTATCCCAAACTTGGCGTAAAGTTGAAAACTTTGAACCCTATGCCACGAGCGCTAAACCAGATTTTGTGACGTAGCGCAGACCGGTTGCCTTGGCAACGGAACTCAGCTTTAACCACCCTTTACGCCCCCGTCTGAACGAAGCTTTAGAGTCACCTCTCGAGTGCAAAGGGTCAAAATTATACCTCACGTTAACTTTCACCTTTATTTGGAATTTTTATAAGTCTCTGAAATTTTCCCATATCACCAACTCCTTGAATAACCGAACATTTACTACATTCTTGTCGGAGATACTCAAAACTGATTTCAGGCCCCTTTTATTTCCTTCGATCAGGCGCACTCCTTCTACTCACAATAGCTTACTTCTTTTGCAAACGAAAGTTGTAACAGCAGTGCCCTGAAGTTGCTTCCAACGAAAATAGAGAAGTGAAAAAGGTTTTATTTATTTGTTCTATTTTTTTTTTATATTGAATGTCTTCATTAGTTTACTATTATTAGTACTATTAGAGCTTAATTATTATGTTGAAGTAAATTGCACCATTCATTCACCACATTGAAACTACAATTAATAATAAGTTGTAATATTACCTTTCCTCCATCGTATATTTCTCAGTGGATGTCCGGAAACAGCGCAGTCTACGTTGACTTCGTCTCCAGTAACAACCGTGACATTATCCATTGGATGGATATATGGTGAACCAATAACAGATAGCCGAGCTGAATGGCTTATAGCACCGATCTCGTTCCTGGCATGACATGAATAGATTCCTCCGTGCTCTGGTGTAATAGATGAAATATTGATGAAACTCATCAAGAGTCCTTGAGAATCCACGAAATCGCCTATTCTTACACCAAGACCCTCAACCACTGGTCGGCTATACAGCCTCCAAGATACTTGAGGTAGTGGGTTACCAGTTACCAAGCAACGAAGTGATGTTCTGGAACCGGGTCGAAGTAGATGATCGGAGAAGACCTCTCGAAATTCCGGAGGATCCTCTGAAATTACAGAAAGGGCATATTTAGTACAAATACTTCATCATTTTACATAGTAAATAATGTAATAAATAAATGTAGATTTCCGCATTTATTCGAAATTTCGAATAAATGCGGAATTGTTTATTACCGGATAAAAAATATATGAATTATTGAACACTTTGCGAAAAACATGAGGCCGTTCCATGTCGAAGGCTAAAAGTGAATTGTGTAATCGATAAAATACATATCCTTGGGTAACATTAAAACAAATTTCGCTTGAAACAGCTCTATAAAATCAGCGCAAGTAGCATCTTACAAAACGAAAATAAACACATTAATATTTAATTATATTTATTTAAAAAGTAATAATAATAGAATTTCTATAGACATTATGTAAGACTATAAACCTGTTTACAAGAAAGGTGATAAATTCTGAAAAAGAAATATACTTTTAAAACGCTATAGGAAGGGTTTACAAATTTAATCTTATCATTAACACTTTCTTAAAATTATGCTAAATAAGAGACTATATGAATCTCTTGCAAAAATAAAAGCATAATAACTATTTTCAATACGTGTCTATTAAAGATAAAGAGGTCTAATCGCACGTATGTTTGTGAAGAGTGACTAAAATTATAAGGTATTTCTCCCACTTCCCTAGCGTGCCTTCGTGGTGTAACGGTAGCACTCTGGGCCGGTAATCCAGAGGTCCGTGGTTCGATTCCCGGCGAAGGCGGTTGCATATTTTTCATCTTTTCTGCTTCTAATAAACCTAATGACTCTACAAGTGGCGCTCGAACTAAAAGGGTTGTGGTTGATGATTCTCCGCACCCAGGATTTGGCGACTAGGTCCCCTAAAACCCTAGTCGCCCTTTAAAAAGGGGAGTATATAAGGTATTTCTCCCACTTTCCTAGCGCCCTTCATGGTGTAGTGGTTCTGCACGCTGGGCCGGTATTCCAGAGGTCCGTGGTTCGATTCCCGGCCAAGGCGATTGTTAATTTTTCATCTTTCCTGCTTTTAAAAAACCTAATGTCTCTACAATTTGAATCAATATATCTCAAGTTGTGAATTTAAAACTTTCTAATTTTAAAATTTATTTTATAAAATTTCTAAATTATAGTTCTCGACTGATGAAAGAAAACAAATTTAATTTAAAATCCGCATACCGAGACTGCAAAATGATTTCATGGAATTAATTATTAAAATAGAAACTTCATAATTTCTAGAACACATTTTTTACTAAATTAATACAAATTCCTTCTAAAAATTGAAATAGATTGATTTTAAATTTAAAATTACGTATTTATTTGATGTTTGTATATATAATATATATATTTCTGATGATAACAACATGCTAGGTTTTTCAGAAAAGTATTGTAAGTATCTTATTTACACAAAAACAATTGCAATAGTTTTTGTATTAGTAATAACTAAGTACCATCATAGTTATTTTGTGGGTTTATATAAGTATGTTCATTAGAAACCTAATAATAATTATTTTTATTCATACATGTGAATAAAAATATTTTTATTTGATTCTTTATTTCCTAGTAAATTTAATGTAAAAATTATGGGAAAACAACAACTGTATTTTTTAACATACATTTAATATCTAAAATACGCTAAGCAAAAATGCTTTTGGGAAAAACGGTATGAACCACTATTAACTACCCCAAAATGTCGTTCTTCATCCAAACAAACCAAGCTCGTGTCTGGTTGGACTGTAAAGGGATTACGTACTGTGAGCTTTTACCAAACAACGCGAGATAAATTCAGAGAAGAGTTGTTCCCAATTAGATGAATTGAAGACTGTTAATGAACTAAAGCATCCAAAAATAGTGTATCGGAAGGCCATGTCTTGTTCCATCAGAACAATGCGTGAGCTTATGTGTCTTTGATAACTCGACAGAAGTTGTTGGAGCTCAAATGCGATAATCTACCTCATCTCCATATTCACCAGACTTCGCGCCCTCTGATTTCCACCTATTTCGAGCATTACAGGAAAATACTTCAAATCTTTGGTCGAGATAAAAATCGCGTAGAAAGGCGGTAGAGACATTAAGTGATTTTGAAGCAGAAGACATGAAATATGAGCAATGCCTTCGCCGGGGCTCGAACCTGGATTTCCCGAATACACGCAGAGTGTGATACCATTACACCATGAAGTACTACCGTATATAATCTCCCTTTTAAAGGGCGAGTTGTAATTAGATGACCCAGTCGCCAAATTCTGGTGTTGAAGACTCATCATTCATAAACCTTTTAGTTCGGACGCCACTGAAGAGCTTGATTATTTTGATGCCGGAGACCGAAAACATGTGCAGTGCCCTCTCCTGGACTCGAACCTGGACCTATCGAATATGCGTCGAGTGTGTTAACTGCTACACCACGAAGGCATGCGGAAGGATGGAAAAAACACATTATATATTCACCATTTAAAAGGGCGACTGGAGATTATAGGACACATTCGCCAAATACAGCTGCTGAAGAATCATCATTCACCACGCCGGGTGGATCCACGGTTTCAGTTCGGGCGCCACTGCAGAGTAATTTAGAATTTTTCGAAACAAGGAAATCGAACAATCCACAATGTCCTCGCCAGGACTCGAACCTGGACATCTCGAATACGTGCCAAGTGTGCTACCGTTACTCCAGGAAGGCATGCAGAGAAAAGGGTGGTAAAATCTCAATAAATGGATACTAAAATTTAAATCTTCTGAATTTCGGTTTCCCTTTAAAATTGGGACGGACTTTCCGGACAACACAATATGTTTATATAAATTAAAAATTTCGCAACTTGTAATTTTAATTAAACATTGATCGAATTTTGTATATACGTGACAACAAATTGCGTGTAATATCCCGTGTATGGGTTTTATAATTTCATTCGAAATAAAACGCAAGCTGAAATTTCAGTAAAGGTTCTAGTCAATACAACGTAGAAAATCACCTTTGGGTATCAATAAGAAAGTTTAAAGAATGTCTTTAAAGTATTGTTTCTTTCTTCTTATGCGAAATCAGTAACAACAAATTTCAAAATGTATATATACAATTTAGTGTTTAATCAAGGAACAGAGATCTTTTTTCCATATTTCTTACAAATGTGTATTTGCACAGAATTCATAAGCATGGGCACATGCAGTCAATATCAATAACTCAGAAATACTGAATCAAATGCGTTTTAAAAATGTATGTTTTATGAAAAGTTTGGCATCGATTTCTGAAGTTCTGAGTACTGTTTAAACCAAATACAGTTGAAACAGGTAAAAAGTTTTATTGTTCAGTTTTTATTTAGAAGTTTTATTACGATCAAAGTTAAATTTTATTAAAATGTATTATGCCATATTTCCATATTTCGTTTTTCAAATACTACCTGTAATGATTTTATATTATACTACAAGGCAGGGGCTCTCAACCGGTGGTATGCAAGACAAAAATAGATGGTACGCAAGGAAGCAAAGTATTTTTAACTAATAAATTCAAAAATTAAAAAACCAACATCCTGATTGAGTTTTTTTCTCTAACACTCGTAAATTTATGCGATCTGAACTAAGTAGTGGTGGTACTAAATTTTTGTTTAGATGATACGATGACTGCTATAGTCAATAGATTGAGAACTGCTGCTATAAGGTACTTCGTCCTTCCTTCCTGCATGCATTTGTGGTGTCACGGTAGCACACCTGGCGCGTAATCGAGAGGTTAAGGTTCGAGTCCCGGCGAGGCCATTGTAAATTTCTTCAATTTCATGACTATGAAAAATTCAAAGTTACTCTACAGTGACACCTGAACTAAAATGTGGTGGACAATAATTCGTCATCACCAGGATTAGGCGATTGGATCTCCTAATCTCCAGTCGCCCTTTAAAAGGGGTGTGTATAAGGTCAGTTGGAGCATTTTTAACTGTCCTTTCTATACAGTTGAACACTGATAAACTTTGCAATAGACTGGCCCTCAGCAAACAGAGTTACACAATAAATGTTTTCTTCAATAATAATAAGAAAAAAAACTGATCTGTACACCACATGACTTCTTTGTACGGAATATTAAATTATACGCATTTTTTCTCGCATTGCATTTAAATTTATTGGATTGAATTAAATCTACTTCGCCGAAAGCGCATAAACCACAATAGAATAAATGTATTCTTTAAAATTCACTCTAGTATTTGTTTACCATAGCGACACTCTGGCGCTAGATTCACTCAACAGTATTATATTTCGTTCATATTGTAACTCATAATGCACAAAATTTATATCATTTAAAGAATAGAATTATCTAATCGTTGCCACATGTTCTATTCAAATACTATAATAAAGCTAGAACGATGTATAAAAGAAATTAAGCAAACGAAACAAAAAGGAAACAGTTTTTCACAGACGATTGAGTACTTCTCAATCAATTAATTCAGTTCTCACTTCGCGACAAGGCAAAATACATAAAAAGTCAAAATATCTGTATTAAAAATTACGAAGTAAATCTTAAACACTTATTTCCTCGAAAAAATTCCAGGAAGGATTAAGCATGATTTAATTGGCGAATTTAATAAATGAAGGCGTTATCTCTGTTGTTGCGAAGCTAAGTTTCTCTAGATTGACAAACAATCCACTAGTCTGCTGTTTGAAATGTAAACAATCAATGGCCGCCATCAAAACAAAGGCTTAGCGGCACTTAAACAACTTTAAAATTGTTGATAATTCTAAAACTATTGCATACGGATTTACTAAAGGCATAAAAAACTTAACCAGAAGTTTAAAAAAACATTATTCAATCATTTTTAAAGCAAAAAATGTACACTTTACAAACATATACGAGTAAAGAAACTGAGATCACTGAGCCGGGTAACAGAGGGGATATATATATAAATATATTTATATGCGTTTTGTGTGGTCGATTGCTACCAAAATACGAGGTGTACATCTTCATGTTATAGCAGTCCTACATACAAAATTTCAACGTCCTGAGGCTACTCGTTGTTGAGTTATGCGAGATACGTACGTACATGCGTTCGTACAGACGCCAC